TGTCAAACACTGAGCATAAATTCTCGTGGTTTTGCTTTTGGATTACAAAGGCCTCATTCTAATGGAGATAGTATTCCTTATTTATAAACTTGTGATCAGTCCCCTTGATGTGGGGCTCCTTTCCCAACACCATAAAGCCTCCCTTGAGGCCTATGGATCTCTCAGGTCAACACACTGCATCCGTATCTCATGTTTGTGTGTATTCTTCTTTGATGTGTCCTATAAATTCAAGTTACACGATTGCTTCTAATTTCGTATACATACATGTTTGTGTCAAACGAACTGCCGTAAAGCAAAATTGCATAGATTTAACCTTTGTAATCATGCTCAGTTCTATACGTACATGAGAGAGATGAGATGTTTAAACGAGAGGACAGTTCACTTACATGTATGATTAAAACAGGACAGTTCACCAAACCAATCTTGTCGATGTTCTGAACATGGAAGCAGAACAATAAGATATCATATGAACTAAACGAGTGATAACAAAGTAGTGTGACATACCTTGTAGATATCAAACCAATAAGTCCGTTTGACAGGGTATAATACCCTCAGTCCAGATAAGATTGGGCTATGTAAAACTACACCTCTCAAGTTTGATAATCGAGACGCAAGATCAAGTGTAGGGCCGCTGCCAACAGATTGACCGTATAATATTAGTTGTTCATCATTTACCCCATACTTCTCCTTGAGGCATTTATATGCAGCATCAATGTCGGCATATGTGTTACATTCAGTTGGCTGTATCAAAAGAAAGTTGTATAAGATGTTACCAAGGATTATTGAAGGGCAAAACTCAGCAGTCATCAAAACGACAATCTCAGTAAATAACCTAAGCCAAAGCGAAGTCATATACACAAGTATAATGCTTTAAATTTAAAACATATATTTTTCGGGTTCTCATATTCATTGTAGTGTTGGATTTCTTGGCTATCGCCGGACCTTCTTTGGAGTTCAAACTTCCTTGGTTTGACTCGTTGGACTCCACGAGAATAAAAGCATCTTCATGGTTCTCACACTCCAAGCTTTTTGATATTTTTTCTTTACCAGATATCCTTCGCGCATAGCGGAGCAATGTCCAATACACCCGCAACTCCCATCATATGAAATGGGTTCAATGTCCAATTATGAAATCCTTGGAAAAAGAGGATGAATCGAAATATAGCTGCTACACCAAAACTACCAGACTAACCTAGTGGATAAATACACAGAAACAAAAACAGCAATTGGGCCCGAGAATGCGATGCATTTATTTCTCCTACGCAACTTCTGTTATCATCAGATTTCTCTCCTTTGTGGAGTTGATATCTTTTGAAGAAGTGGATCAAGATCCCCCTCATGTTGTCTGCGAAGGACACATCAATGCAGACGCAACACCAAGGACGTATGCCACTAGGTATGATCCTAAGTATTCATCTTCCCCTCCAAAGAGAGGAAAAAATTGAGGCCCTCAAGATGGGAGAAGGGGAATAAGGGATGAGAAATAACGACCAACATGAGAAGTCCTCCAGTGGGTTAGGCTCAACCCGAACAACCTCGCTTCCTAGAAAACCCCTCCTATAAGAAACATTAGAACGAGCCCACCACCTCCAAAGACTCATGATGAGTAAGAGGACAATAAAGCATTGGAACGAATGCAACCTCCTCTCAAATAAGTGACAAAGCTGCGGGGACAACTCACAAAGAGGCTTATCAGCCACCCACCTATCCTCCTAAAAATAAATATCAAACCTATCCCCAACGGAGCCAACAAGGGAAGCACAAAGTAACGGTCCAAAGCATTAGATTCCCTGAAGAACAAGCACAATTATTTTGCCAGCAAAGCCTCATTTCGAAGTTTCATGTTATGTTACCAATGCCTAAGCCTCCATCAGCTTCAAAAAAGATCTCCCACCTTACCATGTGTGATCCCCAACCCTCCTCAACTTCTTCCCTCGGGAAATGATAGGAATCTGACTTAGCACTGACTGAATCAAGGTGATACTCCCTCGGGAGGGGTAAAAACATTTGGACTTTGCTGGCTAATATGCACACAAATGCATACCCTAATATAAACGAGCACCAAAACTTGTAACATGAATATACATATATTTTACAAACTAGAAAAGGAAAGGAAAAGGTACACTACCTTTCCAGTTGATTGCCCATAGCCAGAATAATCATACCTGCATAAAATACAAGTAAAGGTTGATAAACCAATTTGCAAATAGTAAGCAATATCATTCCCAAAGTTCCAAAAGATTTCTAGCAAACCTCCTTTGCAAATCACTGCCTTACAGTATTCAAACTCCTACACCATAAACTTATCCATTGTATAAAATGATCAAGTCAAGCAGATAAGAAATGAGTTGTAATCCATCCCCCTTAGCTGCATCTCTGCTAGTACAACTAAACACATACAGTTCTCATCCAAATATGTTCATGCCGCCTTTGTAGAGAACCATTTCGTTCTTATTTGAACTGAGTTGAAATTTTTGAAATCCCCACTATAAATGAACTATACCACTTCCAAATTAAGAAAGGGAGAGATTCCTCAACGAAGTAACGACAAATCTACTAAATTAAGCAGTACCCACATTGAAACTAGCAGAAATTAGCGGGGGGTGGAATGCCCTAGGTGCAACTAATTTCAACGAACAAGCATAAAAAGAAAAGGGAAAATTACCCCATAAGATTAACACGAAGCCGAACGCTCAATTCAACGAAAAGCTCATACATCTGCCCCAAATCAGCAGCATTTCCATGGGAATAAAGCAGAGTACCAGAAGCTTTGGGGTGTTTAACATGAACAGCCACAATATCATTCCCTCGACGAGTTCGAAGACGAAGAACATCAACATCGTCACGTCTCGGAATCTCAGGAATGTAAAGACGACCATCGTGGGATTCATCCGCAACTACAGTGTAAGACGGTGGAGTGGGCGGGAAGAAGGCGAATTTAGCGGCGATTGAAGAAGTGACTCCCCCCATTTTGCTCTTCTTCTCATCAGAGGCCGCGGAATCATAAAGAAAGCCGCCAATAACCGCCACCCCTTTAAGAAATCCGAAGCGAAATGAAAAACCCAAGTCAGATCCTTAAGGTTTAGCTCTGAAAAATCACGGAGAAAGGGAAAGAAGAGTTGGAGATGAAGGGGGAATTTGGAATTTGGAATTTGGTTTCCACTAATCCAAAAAAAGAGGAACAGTGGAGCCAAAGTGGACAGAAAGAGAGTCGGAAAAGTAAGATGACAAAAAAGAGAGAAAGGGTAGTGGCGCGTAATGACATACGACGGCGCGTGGAGGGAAAATCAGTACATGTTGAAGTTGAGAAAAAAAAAACTTGGTCAGCGAATAGACAGAGATATTATTTAGTACATCGCATCTCTATTAAGATTCACGGTATCTCGTTACCGTTATCTTAACGGAATAGGTGCGGGGCCCACTTATCCTCCACCCGTTTTCTCTCTGGGCCCTACTTTTTCTTTTTTTAATAAACTTTAATAAAAATTAAATTAGATATTATTATTAGGATTAACATATAATAAATAATAATAATAAAAGAAAACAATAGTGAGGTGGCATTAGGGTGGACATTCCCCATATTTCTATTGGTTGGTGGAAGACATATAGAAGTGGAGTTGTGGGGACCAAAAAGTAATTTCTTTTTTCTTTTTTATCATTTCCATTATTATTTTTAGGATAATTGATGTTGACTATCGTAATTTATTATTTTTCATTAAATAAAAGAATATTTATGATATCATATTAAATTTTTTTATTTAAATGTTGGTATTTATCTATATATATAGACTTGACATCGACTTTATCATTAATGTGAATAATAAATATTTCTAGTCATTGATATTTGAACAATATTTTTGTCCATATTCATATTTAAATATTTGTTAAAATTTTCATATATCCATAAAAATATATATTTATGTTAAAAGTAAGCTTTGAATTACTATGTTATATTATTTTTAATATTTATTATGCATATTAATTAATCGTAGTGGTAAATTTATAGACAATTTGTAGGTGTTTGACTTTTTGACTTTTATAAATGAAACATTTTTATTAAATCCTTCATTTATTTAAATCAGAATATCCTTTAAAAAAATTAAGTTATTTAAAAGGTTCTTGTATCAAATAAGTTTATAAATTATTAATTTTTTTTATCAATTATTAACAAATTTAAATTTAAAATTTTATGGATTTAGTAGATAAAAAATTTGAAGTTTAAAAACAAAAAAAAATCTAATTTAATGAATTTGTTCCGTAAAATAATTTTATTCCATTATGTTAAATTTAAATTTAAATTAGAGTTTAGCCTATATTGTCAACTTTAATCGGTTATGGTTTTAAGGTTTTAAAATGCGGGTAGAAGTTTCCACACAAGAAATGTTTGTTTCTCCTCTCTTGTGGGCCTAGCTTTTTGCTGGCACACCTCCCAAACACCTCCCAATTTTTTGCTCCAATCAAGGTGAGATTTCACAATTTACCTCCTTGTGGGCATAGCTTCTCGCTGGCACACCTCTCGATTTTTGGCTTCAACCGATGTGGGATCTCTTCTATCTCCTTGTGGGCACCTCCCGATTTTTGCACAATCTACCTCCTTGTGGGCATAGCTTCTCGCTGGCACACCTCTCGATTTTTGGCTTCAACCGATGTGGGATCTCTTCTATCTCCTTGTGGGCACCTCCCGATTTTTGGCTCCAATCGACATGGGATTTCACAATCTACCTTCTTGTGGGCCTAGCCTTTTCGCTGGCACACCTCTCGATTTTTGTCTGATACCATTTGTAACCGTTCAAACTCACAACTAGCAGATGTTGTCCGTTTTAGTTTGTTCAATTTCACAATGAACTTTCATAGGTTCTAAAAATCTCCGCTTAAGCAGAAAAATGATGAAGAAGCGAAGGATAAAGATTATATTTGTGGTTCTCGTCTCAACCCCACCGTTTATATACATATGTATTGAAAATTAGACTTATAAATTCATAGACCGAACACAAACTCAGTATAAGAAAGTATATCTTTTATTAACACCAAAATTTACAGAGAAAAAGCTCAGTACACTAATGAACTATATGGACGATTCTCTGTTATTTTCTATCATGACTGATGGGAAGATCTGAATCTATGTGCAAGAAAACTATCAAATCATTTACAGGTATACGAAAAGGAGCTAATTTCCATCAGAAACACCCTTTTTCAGCATCTGCAATCTGTCCTTCAGCTTCTTTCTCTTGAATAGTTACAAAAAGTAAGCCAAAAATGGCTGTTTTCTGGTGATATTAAGCTGTTCTGTTCAAACCCTTCATCTGTTCATCAAAACAAAAGGAGCTCTTAGAGACAATTCTAAGCCAACAACAAACAGTAAAGCAAAGAATCAAGAGAAAAATGTGGTAACCCATTTATCTGTTACTGCTCCAGAATCTGGCGAAAGCAGAGATGATGCATTCCTTAAAAGCCGCACATTATCAGACCCTATATCCAACACCTCTGCCTTGCGAGCAGCCAGTTCTTCATGCTCTATTTCTCTTAGAACTTCCACTACTTCGTCCATGGAAGGCCGCATATCCCGTGATTGTTGAAGACATTGCACCGCCAACTCTGCCACTGATGTTATCATACACCTTACTGCATAATCCCTCTCAAACCCAAGCTCTGGATCTACCAAGTCATGTAAAGCATGTTTTTTGATTCTATCTATGCCCATGTTCGCCAAATTGATGTCATTTCTATTCCTGTCGGTGTCGACTGCTTGCAACGACGATATAAGCTCGATCAAAACGACTCCGAAGCTATACACGTCGCTCTTGTCGGTAACTTGGTAGCATTGGTAATACTCAGGATCAACGTAGCCGGGTGTTCCTTGTGGAGCAGTTGAAACATGAGTGACATGAAGGGGGAATAACCGTGAGAGGCCGAAATCCGCCACTTTTACTTTGAAGTTGTTGTCTAGGAGAATGTTGTTGGTTTTGACGTCGCGATGAATGATGTCTTTGCGGTGGAGGTAAGCTAGTGCATTGGCAGTCTCTATAGCAATCTTCAGCCGAACTGACCAACTGAGCAGACCTGAATTTGCTCGTTTTCCATGTAGATGGTCTGCCACTGTTCCATTGGGAATGTATTCATATACTAGGATAAGTTCCTGACTATGTCTTGATGTGCATCCGTAAAGCTTTACGAGGTTCTGGTGTTGCAATTGTGATAGAATCTCGATTTCATTCATGAACTGCTCGACTCGTTTACTATTGTTTTCGTATAAGCACTTCACTGCAACGATCCGTCCATCCTTGAGGGTTCCTGATAAACAATCAAACAAATATATTAAGTAACGTGACCGTGAGATCTCACATCAGTTGGGGAGGAGAACGAAACATCCTTTATAAGGGTGTGGAAACCTCTCCCTAACAGACGCGTTTTAAAAATCTTAAGGAAAGCTCAAAAGGGAAAGCCGAATGACGACAATATCTGTTAGCAGTGGACTTGAGCCGTTACAAATAGTATCAGAGCCAGACACTGGGCGATATGTCAACAAGGAAGCTAAGCCCCGAAAGGGGATGGACACGAGGAAGTGTGCCAGGAAAGACGCTGGGCCTCGAAAGGAGGTGAATTGAGGGGTTCCACATTGATTGGAGGATGGAATGAGTGCCAGTGAGAACGTTGGGCCCTGAAGGGGGATTGATTGTGAGATCCCACGTTGGTTGGGAAGAAGAACGAAACATCATTTATAAGGGTATGGAAACCTCTCCCTAGCAGACGCGTTTTAAAAATCTTGAGGGAAGCCCGAAAGGGAAAGCCCAAAGAAAACAATATCTACCAGCGGTGGACTTGAGTCGTTACAAATGGTATCTGTGCCAGACACCGGACGACATGTCAGTGAGGAGGCTAAGCCCTGAAGGGGGTGGACACGAGGCAGTATGCCAGCAAGGACGCTGGGCCCCAAAGAACGGTGAACTAGGGGTCCCACATCGATTGGAGAATGGAACGAGTGCCAGCGAGGATGCTGAGTCCTGAAAGGGAGTAGATTGTGAGATCCCACATAGGTTGGCGAGGAGAACGGAACATCATTTGTAAGGATGTGGAAACCTCTCCCTAACAGACACGTTTTAAAAACCTTGAGGGAAGTCCGAAAAAGAAAGCTCAAAGAGAACAATATCGTCTAACGTGGCCTTGGGACGTTACAATAGCAAGGGAGCATTCAAACTAAAGCTCTTAAGAGCATAAACAACACAAACATGTCCTCACCCGAGTAAACAGTGCCATAGCCTCCATCTCCAAGCTCCCTAGAAGGGTCAAAATTATGAGTAGCTTCCTCAAGTTCGGCATAGGTGAAGAGCTGAGCTCCAAAGTAGGAGCTCCCATTCCCATGATCAGATCTAGCATAAGGATAAGACAGAGTACTATTAGAACGAAACGTGGAGGGAGCCAGAGTGCCTGCGCTTGAAGGAGGCGAAGGAAGATCTTGGGTTTTCAACTTCTTCAGGACATGTGTTTTCTTTCGTTGTTTAATGCAGAAGACACAGCATCCCAAGCACAAGCCTAATACAGCTGCCCCACCAACAGAAAGGCCTGGACATGCCAACTAACATCAGTTCATCTTCAAGTTCATGTACACACAAATGTGTAACAAGCAATTCATACCTATAATCAGGGATGTGTTGTTAGAGTCATCACTCCCACCTATGGCACAACATCCAAAACTTAGTCAGTTCAAACTTACACCAAACGATGGTCTGAATAAACATAAAAAAAAATCACATCCGTTGGAGAGAGGAACGAAACATTTTTTATAATTTTTTATAAAAGTGTAGAAACATCTCACTAACAGAGATACGTAACGGGTCAAGACGAACAATATTTACCGGTGTTGGATTTGAGTTGTTACATGAAGAAGATAAAACCTAATTTAATAAATGTGTTTATAATATACTTAAAAATATTTCTAATTCTTAATATAATCTATTTTTTAATTTAACAAAAATGAAATAATTTTATAAGATAGAAATATTTTGCTTATATTTGTTCATCCCTCCCTAACTCTATAATAATATATATTTAATTATTATAAAGTATTAGTAAAAATATTACTAATTTACAATAATTAGATATATTTAGGATATTCCTATAGAATATTTAATTTCCATAAAATGAGATGATATTTTTTTATTAAATAAAAAAAGTAATTAATTTAAAATTTTATTAAACCTAAAAAAAGATAAATTAAGCTAATATTCTTAAAGAAAAAAACAAAAATTAATTAAAATGAATATACGTTTTGTTTTATTTTATTTTATTTTATTTTATTTTATTTTAAATCCCCATTTTTTTAAATTTTCTGGCCGGCGGAGTATTTATTGGGAAGTTGAAGGCGAAAAGGTCAGACAGAGCAAAATCCGGTTGAGGAAGATCCAGTCAAAGGATTCGAATTAGGGCTGCGTACCTGGAGAAGACGACGGACTTCCTCCGGCCGGCGTACTCTGACAAGCTCCGTTATCATTATAAGCACCGTGGCGACAATAGCAAGTCGTCTGATTCAAACTCCAATCGTAACCGCAAACGCCGTTGGACTCTTCACAAATTCCACATCCGCCGCTATCCTTCTTCAATCTCACCTCAAATCCCTCTTTAATGGCCTTCAATATCTCAGAAGAGTTCACCAAATCGCTCACCTGCGGGAAAGAATCCAAGGAAACCGGCACGATTACGCTCACATTACAGAGACTAGAAGCGACGGGATTCAACTGAATGAGGCCGAATTCATAATCAGGACAGGTAAATTGTCCGGCAACTGGAGAGGTGGAGCAATAGAGCAAGGTAATGTTTCGATAATTAGGAATCGTATCGAAGAGATTGTAATCGATTGTGGTGTTGATGAATTTGCTAGGGCAGAGATCGTCCATGTAATCGTCTCTGGCGATGGTGAGTCTTAGGGAATCGTTTACGCTGCTGAATTTTAGAATCTGGTATTTGATCTCCTTTATTACGATCGTCGTATTTCCTCCTTCGCAGGTCAATTTCAGCGCCGGATGGCCGCAGTCTGCGGGCCTTTGGTCGCCCCAGAACGGGAAGCCGACGTCGGTGATATTGCCGCAGTTGAAGCGATTGGTGCAGGAATCAAATGGATTCCCGAAGACGAGGAAAAGATGGGCAAAGGAAAAGAGCAGAAGGAAGGAGGGAATTGGGGAATGATCCATTGAAGAACAGAGAAGAGAAGAGGGAGTCTGAATTTGATGGAGAATTTGTTGTTTTGTTACATTGGAGAAGGAGGGAGGAGGAGGTATTGGACTCTCTGAAAGTTGACTTGGTACAAAATTTGGGGGAAAAAATACACTCAATCAATTAAGAAATTGAATTTTTGATTGGTTATGTTATGTGGAAATGTGAAATTTAATCATATTTAGAGGAATATTATACTTAGAAAATTTAATCATATGTACACATATATGTATATAGTCCCCTAATGCCTTCTCGGAGTAGGGTAATTGCCTCTAAGGCCATTGTGAGATCCTATACCGATCGAAGAGGGAAACTAAACATTCTTTATAAGAGTTGTAAAGGTGTGGAAACCTCTCCCTATCAGAAACTCGTGAGACGTTAACGGGTTAAAACATACGATATTTGCTAGTGGTGGGTTTGGGCTGAGCTATTACAGATGGTATTAGAGAGCCCGAAGACCTTGGGTCTCCAAGGAAGGTAGATTGTGAGCGGCATTGGCATTTCCTTCGGTGACTGCATTATGCTGGTGCAGGGCGAGTGGGTAAATAGCTTCTTAAGTCTTGCATCTTGAGCTTTTTGACCTTTGACTGTCGAATCGCTATTTTCGTGTAAGTTATCGTCTTATCCTACATGGGATGCGAATGACACTTGGAAATTTCCTCTGTGTCTTCGACTTTACCTTCCCATGGATGATAATGATAATAACAAGCGTGATATAGCACACAATCTTCCTATTAAGTCTTGCTGTACCTGACCCTTGCTGTACCTGACCGTATCTTGTTTTTATCATAGCAAATTGTGTTCTTTTTGTATAGGAGAATTATGCCAGTTTCTGTGTAATATACATTGCTTATTACCCACAAAACCTCTTACCCGGAATAGGAAAGAAAGAGGCTTTCCCCATATTTATTGTGAATTAATATTAGAGAGAACGAATCTTTATAAGGCAGTGGAAATCTCTCACTATCGAATGTGTTTTAAAATTGTCAAGCTAACATCGATATATAACAGGTTAAAGCGGACAATATCCGCTAGCAGTGGACTTTGATTGAGCTATTACAGTCACGTAGCTAATGACTTGATAGGACTTTGATTATCAACGACGTGTTCAAGTAATTTTTATATCAAGCAACCCGTCTAAGATTTTATTCATATTAAATGAAATTGAATCATTTTTTTTTTTTTTTTATGAATCTTAGGTCATTTATTTGGAAAATTTTCTTCTCCTAATGATTATTATATATAGCATTGTGCACAATGCTCCTTTGATTACCAATAATTTATTCTTTGTTTGGGTTTTAGCATCGCCCAAAAAAATGTTGGGCTTTGACTTTACTTCATTTTTGTTTAGACAATATAATATATTTGGCCATAATAACAAGAACGGGAATTGCAAAACGCTCTAAAATTGCTCGATCTCTAGCTACAGAACATGATTTATATGTTGATTCATCGTGGGATCATGAGTACGAGCTTTTGACGCAAATTTCTTTTTCCTCTCCTGATTTCTTTTTCCTCTCCAGATCTAGTGGCTCAACTCTTATTTCACTCTGGTCCGTTCCAATTCGTGTGTTCTTTTGTCTCTTTAGCTTATTGTTATGATCAATTTTGGAAGACTAACAAGAGAAATGTGGAACGAAAGCAAGAAAATCTCGAGTTGCTTTTAGAATCGCTACCGTGAATGCTCACGAGTGCGATATTGCCATTATAGAACTATATGAAACCATTCAAACATTTCACTTCAAAATTATGCACTAAGAAGTGTGCGTTACAATAGACAATAGGCACAATTGGGCCATCTGTGCAAAAATGCCCTAAAAACAGTGCCTTTTAAGAAAACTCTTGAAACATACGGAAGAAATGAGAGTCCACCATCAGTTCCATGGAGGCCATTGGACCCAACCTCTGAATCCTTCTAGATTCTTCTGGAATGCGCCACCCTAACCGATCTATGCCGTTTCATATCCAGCCGACCGCTCCATCGGAGCATCTCACTTCCCGGATTTCCATCAATTTCATCCCTCAACCACACCGCTAGAGAAATCGAAGATGTTCGGAGTTGTGTTTCCCAATCGAAGCTTTCCGATGGACATTTCAGCCTTCTCTCAAATCGACACTTTCCATTGGGTTCTTGACATGAACACATTTGTCGGTATGTTCTCTAACGTATTGTGTTCCATTTCTGTTCTCTTAGATTGCTCTGTTTCGATTTTCATTTCAAAATCCTGATCCGAATCCGTAATCATCTTACTAGGTGAAGCGTATGATCAGATTCGTGAAATGTGTATATTCTTGTTGAATAATTTCACTCTTCCACCCGATAAAGCCCTAGCTGTGTATATTCAGTCCCCTGGATCTCAGTTTCTCTTCTGCGGTGCCGTAACCCTAGCCAGGCCCTCGGCGGTGCTATCTCTTCCATGGCCGGAGCCTGGTGGTCAGATGCAACTCATAGCGGCCGATTCGGCTCCTATCTCGGCTAAAATCGGAGTCTCCGTCGAGGATTTGGCTTCCCTGCAATCGCTTGATGTCACAGCCGGAAAAAGAATCGAGCGTCTAGCCCTAAAAGTCGGTGAGAATCTGTTCAATTTCATGCAATCTTTCTGCGGTGTTGATGGTTCGAAGTTGGTTGTGCCAATCGATATCTTGGACAGATGGTTCAAGAAGTTTCAGGAGAAAGCTAAGCGCGATCCTGAGTACTTGAAAGGCTTCGTTTTGTAAGGCTCCATTTAATCCCCGAATTTTTGTTTGTGGGGATGATGAGTTTTAGAAGGTTGTAATGTATGTATGTTCATTAGATTCTGTGCTTGTTATGGATGGAAAAGCTTGAATGTTGCTTCTAATCTATGAATCACTGTTCTTCTGATAGTGTATCTTAATTTGACATGAACGAAAATGGGGGTCACCATTGCTGCAAAAGAAGAGCAGTTTGAAACTTGTTCACTGTAATTCATTATAGGTTTAAATTTGTGGGGTTTTCAGCATTTGCCTCCATGATCGCTTGGTCGAGCTCCTGCCTTTCACCGCCATGGCAGAGCCCTTCCCTGCAGAAAATGCAGCAAAAAGGTCAGTGTGGGCTTTGATTGGATGGAACAACTGAACAGTAAGGTTTCAGGTTGAAGTTATTTTGTGTTATTCCTCGAACTTTGCATCCATACTTTGTGTAGTCCTAATTAGAATGTTACTGTTCATGAAACGTAATTTGATCATGACCAACTCAGAATTTTTCAGCTTAGTGACCTTTGTTTTCTATTACAAAACACGGGATAGCTTGATTAAGACTTGAATGACTCTCGATACAAATTAAGTATATCCACTCATTTGTTATAGCTATGAGAAGTTTTTGTAGCTAAATGTAACTTAAAATCTTAATACTAATATTTTAGAATTGAAAAATACAATAAAATATCCATAAATTCGAACACGGATGGTATAATCTTGTTATTCATTTTGATGTTTTTGTGGCATGATTAAGACATATTATTAACTTTTAATGTGTATACATGAAGTCTCCAAACCAAAACTATGGATTCGTCATTGTATAATAATAATAATAATATACTTTACATCAAAACGATGCATAGTATATCAGCCATATAGTATCATATGATATACTTATAAAAAAATGGTAAGTCGGGTTCATTTATATAATGTTCTAAAATCAATTTGGGTTAAACAAACTTCGAAATCTGATCCCATCGAATTCGGATCGATGAACTTTTTAAACTCAACCCGACTCCGTTTATGAGCATCAGTGTGGTGGATGGTTGGAGAATTGATGGATAATTGCTTTTGCAAATGTGGAGGATTATCTAAAAGAAAAGGAAAAGGCTAAAAAACCAAAAAGGCAATATATTTACACACAAAAGTTCCCCTAAGAAGAAAACAGATATAGACCATCTACCAAAAAAGAAAAAGGCTAATCTGCAAATGATTGCCATTTTATTTATGAAGAAATCAAAAAGCCTCCACGTTTGACATTCGTTACTTGTATTTTTGTCATAAGCAGAGTATAGCCAACTCGAACGTAGTTCATTGAATAAGACACGGATTATCGTTTTAAAGATTGATAGTTTCATTTTATTTGGACGAATTTGAAAGAACAAGTCATGAAGCGAAAATGCTTCTCTCTACATCAAAAACATCACTCTCCCCTTTGTCTATGACTAAATTATACAAACACAATCATAAACACATGGTTTTACAAATGATATAGTTTATTTGATTGGTTTCAAAGTTTGTCTCTGAAAGCTGTAAACTTCACTGTCACCGTTGCAGCTCCATTGCTCCTTGTTTATCAAGAAACTCGGCTCTCTCGGGATCGTCAAAGGTCGATTTGATCTGCATGTGATACAACCACGACATCGTTTGAGAGTGGAACGTAGGTGTTCTTTTTAAGGTCAACTTTTAAAGTTAATGTATTTTAGCTTTACGAACTTCATTCAAAGCACTCTATAAGTACTTTTTACGTATTTGTAAGTACGAACGTTATAAATCTTGAAAGAGAAGTACCCGTTAAAGTTTTTTTTTTATATCAACTTTTTGTGCTCTACCTTTGAGGAAAGTAGGGTCTATCAAAGTAGGGCATGAGCTGAGCTCTTGGAATCATCTCCTTTCTCATCAACCGAACCTCTTCCTCTTCTATCATCTGTTCCACACATTTTGTTGTTTCACTATTTTATTCCAAACTTTTGTGTTGTAGAAAAGATTGGTAAGTTGATGTTTACCTTGTGCAACTTTTCTTCCACTTTCTTTTGTAGCTCTGTCACGTATAACTTTGTTGCTATCTACGATTACGAGATTAGCACGAGACGAGACGAGACTCGACATGTGAGTATCAGTTGAACACGAAATTCTCCTATTCTTATATGATGTTAAATCATCGCTCTGTTTATAAGTTAAAGTATATTTGCTTATATTCTCAACTCACCGAGTAATTAAACATCGCCCGTTTTACTGCTCTTTCTTGCGTATGCAACTTGAAATCTTGAGGCTTCTTAGTGTTCTCTTTCACAACAACCTTTTGAGGAGTCTAAAAGAACAAGCAAACAAATCAAACCTCACCACTTCCTTCCATTCCACAAAGAAGATTCAACATCCATCTCGAAAAACTTACCCGAACTCTCTCCGTCTTCTCTGAAACTCGGTCTCTAACGCCATCTTTAGCCTAAGAACAAGAAGAAAAGAAAGTTCAAAGCAAAGAACAAAGAAACAAGAAGAATGAAGCAAGAGTGGAAACCTTGATGAAAGATTTTGGTGGAGATTTGTCCATGAGTGAATGATATGAAGAAGAGGGTCAAAGGGTGATGGAGCTAAAATGGAAGCAATGAAGTGCAAAATTTATAGTGAAACTGTGGGGAAGATGGGAGGTTGGTTGGTAAGCAATATGTGCGAGTGATATCAATGCTCATTGCTGTTGCTACATCACCAACATGTCAAAGAACTTGCATGCTCTCTTGCACCAAACTTTCTGATCAAATTTCACTCTCCTTTATACACATTTTTTTGCTGATTGAATCAAAGGCAAGCTCAAATTTTAGTGATATCAATGGTTCTTTGTTTGGGCTGCTTAAACATTCTTATCACCAAACCCCATAATATTGACAAAAAATGGTGTGAATTCTACTTTGTTTTAGTAAATTTAAGGGTTGATATGTTACATCATATGAACATGTTCTTTTCTTGTGAAGAAGTTGGCTGATGAATAGTTTTCTTTACAGTGAAATCCTTTGCTTTGTAAAGAAATAGGACATAAGTAAAATGTGTAATGATTGCTGCTTTTTTGGGCATGGCCGGCTGAACAAAAGGGTTCGACCAACCACCTTCATAGGGAGTCTAGCCGGTTATAGCTTAACTTGTTAAAGCATATATTTTCAACTAAGGAAGTTGTAGGGAGCGAGAGAAATAAAGCGTTCAAAATATTTACCTATATCTATCTGTTTATGGTTGTGTTCGTCAAAGTAATTTTAGTGATCAAATTAGGTGTAGGATGATGAATATGAATGGACAATTTTACGAGAGTTTTGATTTGTATGAAGTATTTTAAATGATATGTCAATTTGTTTCTTTATAATCTTTTAGTTCGGTACCTCTGCTATATGATGATGTCATCTACCTAGTTAATTTTGTCAATTTAAACTTAACTTAACCGACAAAAATACATTTTCAAATAGAATTTAGAAACTCAAATAATATTGTTGAATTTAAAAAAAATATTTTAATGATCCTATGATATATTTATTAGATAAATGGTAGTTTATTTTTATTTATTTAGTACGGTAGATATGTGTTAAAAAAACATGTGTAAACACTTTCTTTTTACATAAATACATCGTTTCTTCAAGGGGTTTGTGGAAATTCAAGATTCTCGATGGTTTTTCGTATTTGCTCTTTTATGATTTCTTAAGCATACGAGAGTCTCTCGAACCACGAGTTTTTAAAATTTTCATGTCGAAGCATAAAAAAAAGTTAAAAATAAAAATTTAAATTAAATGAAATACGGAATACTTTTAAGACATATATGTATATATATAAATTTCACCAAACATCTCGATATTTTCAGACATCCTCATAAATTTTCCTTTAAAAAACAAATAATATCAAATTTGTATAACTCTATCCATAAAAAAATGCAAAACATTTACGTTCTTTAAGAATAAACATCCTTTTAATAAACTACGTTACTCTATTTTGTCACGTCCTTCTAAACAATTGTCGATAAACCGATCATGTCACAATATAATTAACGGTCGAGATTACATAAGACTATAGCTTAAAAAATAACGTTACTAAAACTTTTTTAAAGTTAAGGGATAACAAAATATACGATTTGATCGATTTCTAAGAATGCAAACATCTATGTCGGGTTGTTAAGCGAAAGCACCGTATTGTCACTATCGAAAGCCACTCCTTACAAACACACACAAAAAATAAATAAATAAATAAATAAAATAATGCAATCAAAATGAATGAAAGGACCATACAATACAAAAACAATTAAAGGTTGTTAACAACCACTCTCAATTATTTCTTCTTAAACCCGTTATCCACCAAATCCTTTGTTTTGTTTTGTTTTTTTTTCCCCTTTTTATTTTCAGAAAAGATTAATTAGAAAAACCCCTAAACAATAGTAATAATAATAATACAAACACAAACATGAACACGACGAGAACAATGAACTTAACGACTCGGGAATGGAAAACAAGGTCGATATGGAAGAACTATGAATATATTTCATTATAGAGAGAAAAAAAGAAAAGAGGGGTTTGGAGGAATTGCATTATTGAAGGTAAGCAAGAGGTCGTTGAATTTGTTTGGTGTTTGATTGGAAAAAATGAACAAACTCCTCATTTCAATACCCCAAAAGAAAACTTCATTTTTAAGTTTTGTAATGAAAGCCCAAGTGATTAGTCACCAAAAAGAACACGATCAATGGTGGACGTGCAATCCATCTCATCCCAGAAGCCAAAAGGGACATGCATGTTCTTTTTTTCCATAGAAGGATGCCAAAATCACCCTAAAATTAGGGTATGAGTACGAGTACTAAAAAACGTTTCGACAAACGAAGGTTTAACTACGACTTGAGAGTCGTATAAAGAACATGAGCCTTAACCATTAACCATCTTTACTTCTGCATACAACCAATAAATTTCTGAATCTTTACATTAGAACTTTGAATCTTCAAAACAGTCACTCAATCATACAAAAAAGAAAATAAAAAAAGACAAATGAAGGGCCCTAAAGTATTTGAGAAGGTTACATTTAGTCCTATCCTATTTCTATCTGAATGCTTTATCTTGTATTGATTTGTTTTGTTTTTGGTAAGACAAACAAAAATGTATACCTTGGGAAATCATTCTTTCAGAAACTGATGATTTCCCATTAGAAGCTTTAAGTCGAGGAACGAGTCGTATATACTCTTCCAGAAGCCAAGAACATGTACCCTGAATACTCTACAGGAATGAAAGCATCGGCAAAGTTTTCGTGGCATAAATGAACTTGCCACACAATGAATACACATAATGCATGAACTTTTGAAAATTTGATAGCACCTCAAGTCCAGCTACAAGAACAGAACAAAAGGTCATTCTCAATTCCTTGAAATATACAAACATTTGAAATAATAAATTAGATGCCATCTTACCAAGAATGAGCCTCAAATAAAGGTAGCTTAAGTTTGTCTTCAGTCTGAAGTAAGCAACTTTCACAATATTATCTAAATGCACAGGGGAAGGAAAACAATAATTTCAATAGAGAACAAAAAAATAGGAACCCAAATTAAATTATAAAAGCATAGAGCTCAAACTATATATGGTAATTTAAACTTTTAAGTAAAAGATCCACATAACACCTAGGTCAAAATAAATCCTTGTCAATGCAACTGAAAAGTCAGTATCATCAATTGTTCAGTTTCTGCTAATCCTAGGTAACACGATTTTCAAAACTTAATTTTGTATGAAAAGCTCATACCTGTTTCAGGATTTAATTTGGGAGAAGAACCACGTAATGCAAATTTGGCATAGGTTAATATTCTAACTCGTTGTGAAACACCCAACTTTCTCGTGATGGACCTCAATAAACCACTGCGGCATAGTGGAAAATATGAAAATTGTAGAGAAGACAGAGATTCATCAAGTCAATAAATTACTCGGCATAAATTCCACTTTTTGTCTTACTCTGTGCGCAGTACAGTGAGAAAGTCCGGAGGCAAAGATTCCATGAATGAAGATATGTCCTCCATCTTTAACAACTTCAGTTCCTGCTTAAGATTTCTTTTTTCTTCATTGGACATTCCCATCCCAAGAGCAGATGTACTATAAATGAAGTGATGAAGTTCGCAGGAATCAGCTTTATATTTCACAAGTAAATAGCATTAACTGCAACTTATGGAAACTAGATTCATACAATAAAACAGATACTGTCACAATTGTAGTGCATTTTCAAAGTTACGGGCTACAAATTTACATTGACCACCAGTAACTTGTAGTTCCTTAAACTTCATATTCATCCGCTGTGGTAAAAAAAGAATGAGCACAAAGCCTACGCTGGCATTGAAAAGTGAATTCAAGTACATTATAACAATTCTTTAGCGCAATATAACAGAAAGTTCAATTAAATATATCTATGCTGTTCATCAACTCCTCAGGATCTTTTCACGACCGTTCTACTTTATTGTGTTTACATTCTCCTCTTTTCAGTCTAATCTGAGTAACTTGTTAAGAGAGAGTCAAATGTCTGACTTCAAGAGCAATATAAATCTTGGTCCTTAATTTATACTGTACGCAACTGTCAGTTCTATATCAATGTTAACTCTATGAATGCCAGAGATTTAAATAAATTGGGCTTGAAGGAAGTCCATTACAAGCTCATAGTCACAGGTTAGAATTATATCAATTATTTAATCACATTTTCACATAATGCACCTCTTCAAGCAAACCACAAGACATACTAGTTGCATAATCGCTTGTTGCACCATACGTCCAAATATAAATTAAATGTTTGTGCTCAGAATTCATCACAATCAATAATAAAGTAAAGTAATAATCACCTATCAAATGATCTCCCAGTGAAAATGAGAGGGAAGTATCTACAGTACTTCGGGACACCAAACTGTTCTCCTAATTGAAGTATTTTATTGGTATCTAGTGTAATCATGGCCTGCCAGAGCTGACAATAGTTCAGTCTAAATTCTTCATCCAACTGTTTGTAGATTCCATGATCTAGAAGAACTGCATTATTTGTTTCATAAATGGATTGTATATGGGGCAGACTATAAGGATTCAACATCTAAAGTCCAACAAATCAAAACATCAAACATACCGAGAGTGAAGCCATTTAAATGGTCCTGAGAAACCAATATATTACCAGGGTGTGGATCACCATGCAGGAAACCATGGACAAAAATCATCTCAGCAAATATTTCGACAAGTGCTTTGGCAACCTACAATATAACCAAAATGAAGGCAAATTAAGCATAGAAGCATTTTTCAACAAAGCGTTGAGATGAGAAATGAAGTTGGAAAAATAAAATCCTTTATTTTATTTTTTTTGTTCTGGCAACGCATCTCAGTTATCCTTGAATGAACAACTCACGGCACATAAAATAAACATCTATCCGCTCAACCTCACTATACCTTTCATACTCTACATGATTGGAGTGACTGCGAGCGAACTAAAGTGTTTTTAGTTACCGTTTAAAAGGATCCATAAAGAGAAGTTACCAAATCAACATGATTTTGACAATTTAAGTTAGTTGTGTTATTACTAAGTAAATGCAAAACAAACCTTTGCTGGTTCTATGCCCGATTGCTTCATGAATTCAATATCATCAACCTGAAATTAACAAACTTTAGTTGAGCCTCTTAAATTACAAAAAAAGCGGCTAGTTATTTATGTACCCAAGAGCTAACTAAGAAACAATAACATGGTACACTAAACTAAAAGTTGAAAGCTAATATAACATATCATGAAACAATAGACCAAAAGTCATACCTTGTGTCCTTCACAGAACTCCATTGTCAGAACTTGCCTCGTGGTAAATTCCTAAATATGTTTAAGCTTATCAAATTACCATTGCGGTATATACATCCGTCCCATCACAAAGAGCCCAAAAGACAAAAGTGCAAAAACCATCCCAGGCACTTGGGAATCAAACTTGTTATAACAGTATCATGATTATAAATCCTTTTACTATTAGTTATTGGTTTATATTGTAGGTTGCCAAAGCACTCGGGAATCAAACATATGATACAGGTGGCAAATAGAAAATTGTACGTGACAAACAAGAGCCTCAATTTCCATACCCAATATACTTGAGGAATCTTGATCAAATTGTTGTTCTTGAAGTTTTCATAAGTCCTCTCAGCATTTCTAGCTTCGTGGATGAAATCTGCACGCCAAAATGTATACTGATCACTAATTTACAAGAAGTTTTGGCATGATATCCCATAGAAAACTATTCCGATAACAAATTGTATACATTTACAGCCTAACTTGCTAAACAGGGGCCTAATTCACAAGTCTGTTTCATCATTATTCAGCATATTCTCCAGATTTGTAGAGACCGTATATTTTTAATCCCAAGATTATTTAACCTTCCATAAACTAATAGGTCTTTGATTCGTAGAAAATGGTTCTTAGTTACAAATGGAAATTCATGAACCTACTTTGAAGTTTATCCATAACATATCGAAAGGAGAATGCCACCATTAACCAAAAAAAATCATTCAGCCTCTAAAGCAGAATATTGATCCATCCGAGCATATAGAAATTTAAAGGGAGTGGGGCCCATTTTTGCTTTTCAAGAGTTGGGAGAAAAGGAAAGTGGTCTAAAGCCGTTTGTTCCAATCTTCTAGAGTAGCATCCCAGTCAATAAGTGAGTGAGAGGGGGACTAACTGTTGACAGACCAAGTGAATGTTTTGGAGTGGAAAACCACAGAGATTGGCTTTTTAAATAAACCTGTTGAACAACTTCATGCTACAGGTAGGTTATTTTTCAATAAGTCGCATCACTTATTGCACTGGTTTAGTGTTCACACCATACAATGCTTAAACCCGTGCTTAAAATCAATCAACCATGTAATCCCTAAATAATATCAGAACCATACCAAATAAGTATTAAACTCATAAAATTAATGATTGGAACCTATAAGACATAAAACTAAAAATCTAATGACTTGTTAAAAACTGTCAAGGGCTTGATTGATACCACCCTCGACAATTCAAGGACTCATTAGAAATGTTTTTAAGTATAAAGAATAAATAGAAACAATAGTAAAAGTTTGGAGACCAAACTTGTAATTTAAGCTAATTGTTAAATATAACTACCATGAAAAAACCTCAATGAACCATAGAAGTTTATAAAACTTACCCAACTCCATAAAAATTGTCTTTTCAAATTCTGATGCCAGCCACTGAAACCTATAGTCTGGGAATAGCTGTATGAAAAGGCAACAGCCAATGGCAGGGGATAAGCAGTTCTTAAAGAAAATAATTTTAAAAGATATGCATGAAGAGATGAAAATTAAAGAATGAGACAATTATTACAATAGTTAAAGAGCCAATGGAGTTGTAGAAACTAGAAAGACTGATTAGTTGGGTTGAACTTGCATAAAATAAAATGATTTTTACATTAAGAATCAGTCAAAGAAGTCAGATATAAAAGCTAAAAACATAATCACATCAACTATTTGTCAACCTCTTCTTCATATTTCTTCACCTTGGAATGAGCCAATAATTTGATCCGTCTATCGCCAGATCTCATATGTGGAAAGCCTTCTATGGCTTCCTAATGAAAAACCAATTGTTAAACCACTTTGGGTCTAGATAGCATCTTTCTATTCTTCGTGGCATTGACCACATTTGTTATCCTATTTGTTTCTCTCAATCATTTTCTCTATGAAAATAGGTTTTCTATCAAAAACTAAAAAGAAAATAACCCTAAGCTAGGCTATTCTTTCAGACTATATAACACCCACAAATGACAAATCTCAAGAGAAATTTGTTTAGAGACCAGGATCGCAACTCTAAATGTCCTAACCAATTTGTAGTATGTCCCATAGTCTTATACATATTATTCAGTTATTTAGTTGCTGACTTTGTATATATGTTAGGAACTTTTCAAAGAAAATTATGAGGATGTTTGCTATAAGAAACAACAATAATGAATTATGCAGAAGCCAGAAAATCTCAACAATGCATCCCTCCTATTGGAGATCTTTTCTGCCCGATGAAGAACTTGGGTACTCGGAGGGATATATGCCTTTGAAACGATGGTCAAAAGACAACTCAGATCTTTGTTTTTCTTTTGGATTTTACAGGAGCAACATAGTTGGGTAGAAGACGCAATTGCTTATGATGTTCATATTTTTCTGAGATTTTATTCGAAGACTGTTTCCATATTGCTCTCTCAATAACTCCCCAATTCTAACATTATTGCATGTTCCTCAATCTTACACAAGCTATCAAGAGTTCCCAAATCATTGCAGGGAAGACAAAAAAAGGGTAAGGTTGGGAAAAAGATAATGTAATTCTAACAATAGGTGAGCCATGAAGGAAAAATATGGATTTATTATTTTCTAAAGTTGTTTAAATTCAAACAGGCCTTATCTAGCATGTGTAAATGTTAGAAACATTGGCAAAGTTTGCCTCAAAATTTTGGAAGTTTCATTCTTATAAGAGGAGAAAAGAAAAGAAATAACCAAAATTACATTTATTGCAAATGGCAAGCAAGATGCACAAAGCTATACATTGTATAAAAACTTAATAAAAACGTAAGCAATATTCTCACCCATGAGATGGTTCTCGATAGGAAAGACATGACTGTTATGTCTATTTTCACGTGTTGCATCAATCCTGGGTACTGCACCTATGTTCAAAAATAATAAAAATAATAATACATAGAAATCTGGTTTTATTACACGTAATTTTTTATTCTATACAATGAAAATGTAATATTTTGAACAATCTAGAAAAGGTCAACTACAAGTTTTTAATGCGTGAATTGAATTGAAGCACAATAATTCTCTACATCCTAAGCTTGAAAAGAAAAAAATACCCCTAAACTATGGGTTTTCCTAAACTTTGAAAAAAAAAACTACCCCTAATCTTCCAAAAAGAAAATTCAAAGACACCTTTTTTGTTTCAATAATACCCTTAACTTTTAGAAGTACACAAATATTTCCAACCTTTCAAAAAGGTTAAAAAATACCCCTAATCGTAAAGTTACAAATGGAAATGCTAAAATTTCGTTTCAATAATACTCCGGGTCATTCAAAAAGTTAAAAAGATACTATGTTTCTTCTTCTTCCTCCCTCTACAGAATTCTCATCCATGAAAATGAATGAGAATGAATATTATTAGCATTTGGAAGGTAATAGTAACAATTTGACCAAATAAGCTCCAAAAACCCAAAATCCATAATCATAACCCTTCCCCATAACTCTCTCTAAGACAAAAGAGAAAAATGAAAAACAAAATCTAAATGTTGTTAGGATGGATTTAGAAACCTAATTGGGTAGATTCAAGTACGGATTTGTTCAATTCTTCGAAGTTGAAGGATAATTGATCGTCCTTTTGGTTTTTGAGATCAATTTCTTGCTTGAATTTGATTAAAATATTATTACCCAAATGCTGATGTCAAATGTGGGGATGAAAAATAAATTTTCCATGATCCACCTACCACTATCATCTCTAGGTTTGTTGTCTTTCATTGCATCAAAAGTAACAATTGTGTTTGAAGTTCATTTGTGACTCTGTGTTTGCTTTTAACTTTGGGATTTCTTTTAACAATTGTTAACGAAGCATTAAACTTGAAATTTTAAGGCATGCTACAACTAACAAAACAACCAAGTGAAAGAAACTAATGTGCAGAGGCTTTAAGTTGGCGTTGAGTAAAATTACTCAATACAATACCACAAGTGTACACGTCAAGTTTTAATATAGTGCATGAATGTCAGAGTATTGTACCATGGTGTTCTAGTTCACTTAATTATCACAAATGTCATCACTAAATTTTATTTAGAGAATAAAATAGAAAGATGAATAAGAACAAAATACAACAAAAGATGGTGAACAATTAGAGAGAGATATCTTAAAGAGCTCATCAATCAAACCAATGACTCAGTTAATTAAACAACTAAGATTAACATTCAAATAATCTATAAGTCAGAAAGGCAAGAGTAAAAATTGCCTAAGATGTCAAGGGTATTAATGAAACTTTAAATTTTCCATTCAAAACTTAACCGTAAGAGTATTTTTTAACATTTTTTAGAAGTCAGGTGTTTGAAAATTTTAAAGTTCAGGGGTATTATTGAATCGAAACTTATCCAAAACTTAATAGAAAGAGTACTTTTTTAACGTTTTTTAAAGATCATGAGTCTTCTTAGAACTCAGGTTTGTTATTGAAACAAAGTTAAGGAGTATTTTACATAATTTAGCCTATGTAAGATAAACATAAACATGCCTAGAATAATAAATGTAGGAAGAAAGAATGAAATGAAGAAAATGGAAGATAACATATAATAAACAAATAAAGTTCAAGTATAATGAGTCTTTTAACAAAAATGCAATCTGTATAATCACAATTCAGTGACCTAAAAATTAAAAATCCTCTTCATTTTATCCGTCAAGACATGTGGCCCTTTATATCTTCCAATTTGGTCTTATCTCTATCATCCTCCACATTAATTAAGGTGGTCGAACCTGATGCCCTATTCATTGTGTTTTCAGCACATGCTAAAAAATGATGCCACTATCGTAAAGAATTGTCATCAAACACAAAATCATCATCCTCTAGTTTCCTCAGCATGCAGCACGATAAATTAAATGATACTGTCCATATTGACAAACCTTGATAGCTACTTCTTGATTATTTTTCAGTATACCACGGTGCACCTGAGCAATTGACGCAGCAGCTATAGGTTGTTCATCGAGTGAAAGAAATCTGAAGAATAAAAAAACCCCAAATTATGGAATAAAACAATCTCTAACCACGTAGACTGTGGACAGTACTTTTCATGAAGATAATTCAGGAAAAATAAATAAACAAAAAAATAATCTGGTAATCCAATGCTCAAAGACATAATTTTAGCCCGACCCTATAAGATTCAGAACAAGCTAAAAACCAACCTAACATGTATGCTACTCATTTAACCAGAGCTCCAACTTCCTTTTCTTTCTGCAGTTAGGCAGTTTCCTTTTTGATTGTTACCTACAAATATTACATAACTGACTCACAAATCATGAGAGCAATAAGATCATTCTCACTTGACATTCCAATTTCAATTGCTTTCACTGGCATGAGAAATCAAACTCAGTATGAGAATGGCTTCTCTCAATAATTTATCTAACTGGATGAACTTAATATTATTTTCAAATATAGAAAAATGACCTTACTTGACTAGGGATTTGTTGTACAACTTCGTCCTTGAGTTCAATAATCTTTCAAATATAGAATAAAAACCAAAGAACAAGACCCCTGACAAGACTTAAATGCTTACTATGATGCCATTATACACATCCATGAATAATAGTTAAGAAATAGTAAGACTTAAATTTCTATGAATTTTTTGCATGTCTATTTCAATCTTTTGGACCATCCTACCTGTGGCTAGAAGAGGTTTAAGCATGACTGGAGTCTAAAGATTGCCGTGATATTCTGCTTGATTATTATAGACAATTTTGCCAAACAAATTTATAAATTACAGAATTTTTTTTTAAAAAAAAGAAAAAAAAACATTTTGATCTTTGATGTTATTTTGTCATCAATTATTATAGACACGGAGATTAGATAAAGTGGTCATTGGGTGATACAAAATTTAACTATATAATAACGTCAATGACAAAAATGGTTTTTTTTTTTTTTTTAGTTCGGGACTAAATAAATATTTCAAAAGTTTAGGGACTAATATGAATAAATCTAAAAGTTCCGAAATCAAAATGGATTAAAATATAAAATAAATATATCTAAAATAAAAGTGCTAAACACAAGTGGAAAGCGCATAGTAGCTAGTCCCACTAAATATTTATAAACTTACATTGCTGATATATCTGAACCGAGGTTGCAGATTAGAATATCTTTTATATCTTTGAATGGACAAGGAACAGCCTGAGGTGTTAATGACTATACAAAATTAAACAAGAATGAAAGAACCTCATTCTACAATTTTAAATTTTCAAGAAACTTAGACTAAACCTGGTCTTGCAGTGAAGAGAGAATGGACGAGTATTCATTTGGTGTCTGCCGCAATGAAGCTACAAACTGACCAGCTTTAACATAAAACCCTTTGTTAACTTGGCATAGCTTTAAGATTCTATTTGCAGAGCGACGATGAACCTAACCAAGGTCATTTTCATGAAAATCAGAAATAAGTAATAGCATCTTCATTAGAGTTGAGTTAATAGTGTTAATCTTTCTCGTCAAAATTAGACTCAAATTCCATGAAGCCCGAGAATAAGATGAACAATCTTAAAGCCTGAGAATAACTTTCAAGAATTATTAATTATATTTATTTCGTCTTAAATGTAAACCTTCAAGTTATCAAATGTTCGAATCGATCTCGTTGACATAAAACCATCTCAAAAAATAAATAAATAAATTATGCATATTGTATAAGATCAATCATAAAGGTGATTAGGAAAACTTGGCTTCCCTATCAAGTAGGTAAAAGAAGGGAATGAAGACCATTTGTTCGGCAGTTCATAAGAGCCATACCAAAATTGAAAGACAAAGTGTTTAAGTTTCCAGAATCCAGCATACATTAACGAAAGATGGATCATCTAAAACGAACTTACTCGGCTAGAAATTATACAAATTTTGAAAGTAAGAAAACTAACTCAAAGAAAGCCTATGTGATCGAAAAGGACAGCACATGAACTTCCATCAGCAAGCATTAGAGAACGATGATTGAAGACCACAAAACCTCCTACGCGCCGCAAGGAGTGGGAGATTGTGAGTGCGTGTGTGTATTTCGTTTAATTTCTAATATCAAAATCAACAGTTCACAAGGCTAAAACTACAAGCCAAAAGGTAAATATACACAAACCTCAGATAATTTAAGACGGTATTCCTCAGAGTTCGCTACCACCCCTTGCAAAGAGTACTTATAGTCAAGAACTACCAGAGAAATCTGCCATTCAATAATACCGAAGTTAAGAAACAGTTCAACGATTTGAAGAAAAGAAGAAAAAAAACATAAATAAATCGAAAGAGAATAAAAGGGCATAGAAAACATCAGACTGTGGAAATCGCACGAGAGGAACGACGGAAGCCGTTAACAGCGGCCCGAATCTTCTCCCCAAGATCGAGAGAAGAGGAACGAGAATCGGAAGATGATGAGACAAATTTGGAATTAGAGTTCGAGGCCTGCAACGCAAGTCCAGTTCCCGTTGTTAGAACACACAGAGTTGCCACAGAGCGAAACCTGAGAATCTCCGTAATCCTCCTCATTTGGAGTTCACTAGTTCTTCGTACTTGCTACCGCCGCCGCCGAGACACGAGAGAATCTGTATCGGCGGGATTTTGGCGTGCAATTCAAATTCGAGCCGTGGATTGTGCTTCCTCCACTGCCGATTATCGCGGGAATTTTTTATTATTATTATTTTATTTTTCCAGTTCCCAGGGAATTTTTTTTATTCTAAAATTTTCTTAACACCGACGCCAGTACATTGATTTTAGCTAATTATTAATTTGGACCATTTATTACGTCACGCATAAAAACTGCACACTTTTTAATTTTATATTGTATAAACGAAAAATAAACAACCTCAATAATAATAATAATTATTATTATTATAATAACAATAAATAAATAAATGTATATAATATTGATTAAGGCAAGCAAAGCCCTTTCATCATCTATTTCGTTAACGTTATTAATTTTATGTAAATTACAGAAAAAAAAAAAAAAAAAAAAAAAAAAAAAAAAAAAAAAAAAAAAAAAA